CCAGGACCGACCTGATGAAAGGATGGAAGGGAATCCTCCCTCCACCCTTGAAGATCTCTTCAGAGATCGCGGCAAGGCCATCGACCAGGCGCCGTGACGACCTGGTGTGGTCGAGGAACACCTCCGCACGGATGTCAAACTGCCTCTTTATTCTATTATATTCCTCAGAGGTGAGAACCGAGTAGACATCGAGGGCTGCGTCCTCGGGAACTTCTCGCGAGGACGAGTTGGCTCCTTCCTCGGGTCTGGATGTTGACGGTTCCATTCCAGTCTGCAACATCGACAGACAAGTCATTTTAGCCATCGCATGTCCCGCGCGGCAACGTGGGACAAATCCCTTAAAACCTAACAGTAACTCAAGCCGCCATCCATGGCTCGAATCTAATGACGGCGTCACGTCTCTGGTGAAACACCGGGAGACCCAACGCCATGGCCCAACCAAACCAATGCAAAAAAAAAAAAAAAGAGGAAGAAGAGAATCTTACCTTCTGGGATGAGTAACCGAGACTGAAACTCGTTTCAGTTGCCTGAGAAGCGCCGATCGGAAAAGAATGGTTTCTGGTTTGCGAAGGTCTGTCACTCGAAGTAAAAGAAATTTTGGTGACCTCATCTGAAAAATACGAGTTTTTATATGGATTGCGAATCGATGGTTACCACCCCTCGGAACCGAAACGACAGCTCTTTCTCTCTCCCCGCATTAAATGCGCCCCATGTCGCATTAAATGCCGTGATAAGAGTCGTCGTTTCGAATGCGTTACACAACCAATGTTGTCAAAACGGCATCGGGTCAGCACACAACGCATTTAATGTGTCTGACAAACGCTTTAACACGTGCAGAGCGCCTGACAGCGCAGAACCAGGTTCATTGAATCTCTAAGGTACAGAAAAGAGCGTCCATCAGATCCAGGTCGCTAGGATGAAGATTGTTAGGTTGCTTAGGCAAGGGATTGCGCGAGATTGTGTTCACCAAGAGTCATGTGCCGAGCTCATCCCATTCAGGTCGGAGTGACCAGAATCTCCGATGTGACTTAGTTTCCAAGATTCGATCCTCAAACCTTGAAAACTAGGGGGCTTCTGTTATGCCTGGGAAAATAAAGGCTGACGTGGGAAAGTCACGTGAAGAGTAACCTGCTCCCGTCAGAGCAGCACGCACACGTCAGACCTGCCAAATGATATGGAGCTCACACGTGTCCCTTTCCCCTGTAATAAATCGTGCGAAATCACTTGGGAAGAGAGAAATGGGACATAAAGCCGGATCATATCCTGACAATCACACCAACCCATGGATTTAATGATGATTACACGCTTCAGTTTGATATAAAATGAAGAAAACCCCTTCATTAAGGGGATTCGGCCATTTTTACATTGGAAAACTCTCTCTCTCTCTCCTGTAAACACATTTACTTTCTCTAAATCTTTTGTAAGTCAGTCTGCTGTGGCGACCTGACCCATACTACTATCAATGCAAGTCAGTGGACGTAGGATTTGCTACCTTAGCATCCGAACCACTTTAAAAGCTTTCTTTGCATTTATTTCATTTCATATATTCATTATCACGTGTGTTCATTCTCCAATCAGCAATACGCACGTGACAATTAGTTGGTGCCAAAAACCAGCATCAACAGTAACCAAACAAACGCTTAGTATCAGGACATAAACATTAAACACAAACAAGTATACGTAAAATTAACGCTTTTATATATATATAGTCTGTTAAGTTTAAACCAAGTGCAATTCTTTTTATTCTAACCCCTTAAAACCGAAATGCCAGACACTGGTTTTCTATGTTTCTATTGAGCAAATTCTTTTTATATTATTTGCATTAATTATACATTGTCGAACAAGCTACTTTGTTTCAAAGTGGGAAACTACAGGATATGAACAGTGTACCAAGAGAAAACAATAATAATAGTTTAATCATATATATTAAATTGCCTGTTTTCAGACCGTGCAAGGAAAGTGACCAGGCCGCCCCTGTTGGATGGAATAAGCTCCAAAGAAAACTCTCAAGGTGTGCTTGGTCGTGGTAATCTCCCAACACTGAAATAATATCATTTTATGTTAGTTGATTATCACGTTTGGTTGTTAAGTAATATAAGATTTGAGTAACCTTTCAAAACCAATAGTAATTACTGTTGGTAATATATGAGATAATCTAATTACCTTCATTTTTTAAAAGTATTTTAAGATTACTTGGTAATCTTAATTTTGTTATAATTTTATACTTAACTATTAAAACTTTTAGACAATAATACCCTTGTTCTGAAAAGAGTTTACAAAAAAAATCAAAAACTATTTTATCCTTATATATAAAGTTTTTAAGAGAAAATACCCATGAACTTGAAAAATATTATGCATGACTGATGGCAGGATGTGGCCACCACTGCCAGTAGTCATATGTAGATATAGTCATTTTCGGTCACATCTATGGTAAAAAATAGCTAGATCTATTGGTTATATATGATAGAATTTTCTCTCGTACGTAAATGTGTTTATTGAATATTGCAGTCAAAATAAATAAATCAAGTTATATATAGTATATAGTGAATATTGGAATGTCTTTATAAACTTCTTATCAGGCATGCCTAAAACAAGTTCAAATGAATTAATTAATAATACATAGTCAAAAGATTAAGTTTTGATATTATCATATACATATACACTAAATCATCTAAGATATATCTTTGATTACAATATAAGATAAGATTAAGTTACTCTTGATCGATTCATGACCTCGATACAATGTAACCATAAAGATACATATGATCCTTGTAATGACTTTCATATATATAAATCTGAAAATTAAATTTAAAACTGCGTCAATGTGCATAACATCAACTTTCACAAGTAATCGACGCCCTAGTTGACCTGTTATTTAGCATTAATTATTTTTAATATTTGACACGCTGCCTTTTATGAACCAAAATTAATATTTTAATAGAAAATTAATTTTCTAATATTCTTGAATTAATTAATGAGTCAGCTCATTATCCACTCAATAGGTATATTTAGTGTAGCACACAAAGCCTCTTAAAGCTAATGGTGATTGGTGAAAAACAAACTCAAAAAATAGCCATTAGGTAGCTTGAAAGAAATGTTCTAACCTAACTGCACCCGCATCACAGTCTTACCTATAATTCTCTGGAAATGTCACCGACAATTTTCAACTTAATTAATGGTGGTAGCTCCATACTGCAACGTTTTTCTTCAGAAAGCCAGCTACCATATATGAGTGCGTTTGATTGTTAGCTACTCAATCTTACTTTAAATTAATAAATATATGCAGAGAATACCTTTCATTAACCATAACCAAGAAAGAATCTGTTAATTTTTTTTGTCAAATTAATTATTAATCTGCTGGAGATCTGTGCAAATTGCAAGAGCTTAATTTTCTTTTGCCGAATCTTGTTTTACTGATGAAATTGTAAGGGGTGGAATGTATGGTTAAAATGGAAGAAGAATGACTGTTTAAATTGGCTCCACCTCTTTAAGTATCACAACTACCCCATGTCCGTTGTTGTAGAACGATCGATCGCTACTGTCATCTTTCAGTTCTTTTTCCCAAAATGCAATGTTATGTTACTACACGGAGAGGATGCTTTGCTGTACTCTTGAAAATGCATTTAATGTAATATTGATAGAGGGCTATACGTTAAATTGAAAAAGCCAACAGTAAATCAATTAAAATAGAAGTGAGAGCAAAGACAAAGTACAATCTATAGAAGCCAGCAGCCACTGGAGCTGGATCACTGTTTGACTTACGAGTCTTGAGCTCTTGATAGACCATAATATCTACTAGTCAAGTCAACCTAGTGTTTTTTTAACTAGTTTGGCAACCATATTTACTGTAAAAACTCATTATCATGAAATTGATAAATTACATAGCTTACTGATGAACGAAATAGAGAAGCAACAGGAACAAAATAATAATAGTTAAACAAAACAAACAGTAAACTAATTAAGAAAGCAATACGCGCAATTTACCCTGGTTCACCCAATGTGGGCTACGTCCAGCTGAGTCAATATTATTGCAATATGCCTCACCTCTCTCGTTTACAATGAATGAATTGTTCTCACACCATAACAAGAGAAAAGTATGTTTATATACTAGGTTTAAGAGATTAAACCTAGTTTTACAAGAATTATTATTCCTAAGCCCAACCCAAAAAGGAATTAATAACTTAAAAGGAATCCTACAGCGGTTATACATGGAAAAGCCCAAAACCGCCTACGGGCTCGGGGGCGCTGCCCCTGCGACCCCCGCCCGCTCACCGGGGAGCGGGGCACCCGCCTGCTGACCGGGCAGCGGGACCCCCGAGTGCGTCTCCGTTACCCATTAATGCTAAAGTAGTCGACAACTCCAACAACTGAGATAGAAATACTTGAGATTTGAGAAAAGTTGAAGAATGTTTTCTTAATATTTTCAGAAGACTAGTAGGTTGATTTACATCATAAAAAAGTGGCCTTTGTAACTTGCAAGATGTTGCTTTTATATCCCAATCTCTTAAACGACATGCCGCTCACATTTAGCAGAATGGTATGTTTAACTTGTTTGGTACAAATGTGCAATAGATGGTTTGCCGTTCAAATTAGGAAATCATAGATGATGGAAGGTTAAATAAGTTGGTACACATCCTGTCACCATAAATGACATGTTGCGTCTTCCTATTTAATTCTCAAATCTCATATAATGGACCATCTATATAGGTTCATTCTAATTATTTAAGTATATCTTTATTTATATATAAAGAGATTTTAGTAATTCAATCAACTATACACAAATCACGGTGGTTTTAAAATTCATCAAAAATATTTTTTTTTTTTTTGAAAATTTGAATATCATTATAAATCTTCCTAAACCTTTCTTTAATTATAAGTACCGGGTCTGAGCCAGGGCACCAATTACCATATCACGCCTTTGTGTATACAGCATGCATTGCTCTATAACGGTATTTTTTTCAAATTAAAAGAATGACTAAATAAATTGCATAACATTCAAATTATTTTAATCAATTGCTTTGAATGAAGAAAGAAAAATCCGAGAAATCATCTCCCAGGCGTCTAAATTGTTTGACGTCGATGAAATAATTGTTAATATTTCAAGTTTGCAACCCTTCCATGAGGTGACCTCATTTCACGAACCCGCTTCTCCTTTGAAAGTACTTCCGCTAATCTGCACAAATAAATTCTGAATAGTTAGCCATACAGACACAATTTGACCGTATCATAAGACAACCGCTAACAGTAAATAGTTGCGATGGAGTTATAAAATCAATATATTTATACCTGATGAGAGCCCTTTCATTTGTGCCCCAAGTAGAAGGATCAAAGGCTCCAGTCTCAAAATTTACCTTTGCAATTGGTTTCTTCAGCAGTCTTTCTCCAACTCTCACAAGACTCTCCAAGTTCGTTGGAGTGGCAATGTCCACAGACGACTCATGTCCAATTAGAGTATCATCCTAAAAATTTTTCAATATATTAGTCTCAATTCTCAACTTCTTTGATATATGATTGTATATATGAACACTGGTATATGATTCATGGATGTTATTACCTGAATTCTTAGATAATTTGCTTCAGAATGAAGGGCTTGAAAAACTGTAGAAATGTGAAAATCAACCATGTCGCTGCTAGATTGCATAAACACATCGGTCAATGGACTCGAATTTTCAGTGTTCAACCATCCCAACATACCCCACTTAGCCGCTTTATGAGCATCGTACTTCTCTTCCGTCTTTGCTGAACCAGTACCTAATGATATCACCAGAAACCGGCCGTAGTCGGTTGGCTTTATGGGAAAAAAATCGGAACTCCCTCGGGTAATTGTTTTGGTCACTTCACTGATAGCAACTAAAGTCTGAAAAGCATTAAAAAAAAAAAAAAAAATATCAAGATTTTTTTCGACTTGCCGCTTAAATATATTGAAAATTAATAAATAAAGTAAAATAGATAATATATCTGTACCGGATTATTAGCTGCCACACCACCGTCGATGAGATCAAATTTTCTCACTTTTCCTTCGGGGTCATGGGTCTCAAAATAATGGGCTGGAAGATAAGTAGGAGCAGCTGAAGTTGCAATACAAATATCAGAAAGTAAGGCATCTATGCTTGGATGTTTCTTCACCTAAACGACATGAACATAAGAGTCAGAGGTTCCAAGAAATATGTATTAGTAAAAACTGATCCGCTATGAAGTACTATTTTAAACGGCCAATGATCTTCATTCAACTTAATTAAAGTAGTGAAATAATACTAAGGAGTAAAGCTAAAAAACAAACCTCATAGCTGGAGAAGATGGTTGGTTGGAGTTTCCTGATATCAAAAGTTGGAATCACTATATTTGTCAATGTCTGGTGCAACCGAACATCTCCTAACTTTTCCTTCACGATAGAGTGCAGGTATTTTCCATCATATTTTGGTCCAGTAAAAGATTTGACCAGCTTGGTAGCAGGAGCAATAATGGGACAACTGATACGTATAACCAAAATATTACTACATAGACAAAACTCTCCCATTCTTGGAGGGAATTTAACCCAAAATCCTGAAATCTTCCACACATCAAGATTTACTTAAAAAAATTCTCTTGTTCAATTATAAGAGAGTTTATCAATTGATTAACATGAAATTATATTAAATTTCTTTACCCTTTTTACTTTGGTCAAAAGTTAGTTCGTCTCTTTGATAGAACGTTAGTGTACGGATGTCTTTAAATATTTAGGAAAAAAAAATTTAGTAAAACTTCTTGATATTGGAACTCATAATAAAAATCCTACTTCCTAATAACCACTCAACTCTATCTAATAATAATATTTCAAAAATACTTCTCTAAATAATTAAACAAACGCACCCAATATTTTTAGCACGATGTCATCTTCATCTTAACGTAAAAAAAAAAAGGGCTTATTTCAAAAGAAAAATATAAATTTCAGTGCATGAGACTTTTCAAAAAAAAAAAAAAAATTATATAAGCGCTTAAGTTTAGTACCTATGATCTTGGGGGAATATTTTGGGGCAGTGAGTTAGGTAGAAGTCCTTAATATCTTTGGCAGCAAACAAAGGACGGTTCTGTTCATTAGGGGCTGCTAGCATGGCGGTCACCAAGCCACCAGTGCTAGTTCCTGCAATCACATCAAAATAGTCTGCAAGTCTTGCTTCCTCGCCATCGTGTTTCTGTTCACATACGGCCAAAATACTTAGTATTAGGGCATGATATATAGATATGAGAGAAAAATATGATATCTAAATATGTTGCCCCTATATGTTGATCCTGTCTTTCCGAAGGTAGCAAGTAGCACATATCAGTATATTGCATGCATGAAGTGAGGAAAGATCATATATAAAACGTCGTTAAGGTAAAAATATATTATTCTCAATGTTCTTATAAAGCTATTCTTTAGTTATTTATAAATTGAAGATTGGACAAAAAATCAGCCCATTGCACGAAAGATAGATTTTCTACCTGAAGTTCAGACTCTAAAAAGGCAAGGATAGTCGCAGGGATTATCCCTCTGATTCCACCTCCATCGATGCTTAGAATAGTAATTAGGTTTCCATAAGTAGGTGGCTGTAGAGGTGATTTTGGACTTTCCATAAGAAGTTGAGAAAGGAACTAATTAAAGGGGAGAGAGAGAGAGAGAGAGAGACAGCGAGAGAGAGAGAGAAATATGAAGAAACGCAAAGCTTTGATACCCGTGAATGGAGAGTAGTAGGAAATGAAGCGTTGAAGAATGGGAGACTTTTATTAGCGTATTCTGAACCGAAGAGAAATGACGCAAACTAACTTTCTTATCCCTATAATTTTGACCGATTCAAAATAATTTAAGCACAAATATATTTTAACGAGGAGATGTCTGGAAATAATAATTTCCGCTGCTACTATCAAGAGTAATTCAAAATGAGATGCCTTGTGCAACCATACATCGGAATTCATTAAATACTGCTTTAACCGTAGCAGTACTTGCCAGCGCAGGAGGATAACTCTATCTTATCTGAGTTGCTTTCAAACAACTTGTAATGAATTGGTAGTAAAATTAAATTTTATTTGTGGGAGGCATCTTCTACATCTTACAGTCAAGAGGCATATTGACATTGAAAATGATGTGTGTGTCTGCACATTATATAGATGACATTGGTCACTTTAAATCATCTTC